AAATACAATTAAAAAAAGAGGAGGGATATTCTTACTACCAAAATCTTCTACTACCAACTTACTATCTATCTAATCATCATTGGATCAATATTTTGTCTTTTTTCAAAAACTTTTTAACATTATCTCTCTTTGATTCAATGGTGATTAAAAAGATAGTAAATTAGTAATAAAAATTTTGATAGTAAAAATATCCTTCCTCTTAAAAAAAATTTGCTCAAATATGTTTGTAAGCGAATATCCTATCTCAGAGTTGTAGGAGTCCTGTGTTAAGGACTGAATTGACAAGGTCGTTTTGGGGTTGTTGTGGAGGACCATGACACCTACAAAGGCCATGTGATGCCATGTGGGCAACTCAGCATTAAACAACAATAAAGAATTTAGTTGCCTCAGGTAACAGAATGGGAGGTATAATTATAGGACAATGATAATGATAAGTGAGACACTTGTGGTCCTTTGAAAATTGAGTGGCTCTTTTCGAGCCCAATCATATCTGAAGTGACTTAATACCGAAGGGCCATTACGAGGTTACAATGAAAATTTTATGCACAACCCAATTATCTACCAATTATGAGTAGTATATATCATTGGCTAATCAACCAGGGACCACACCAAGAAAAATAAAATTAATAGGAAGTTATATATATATATATATATATATATATATATATATATATATATGAGAGTAAGATAAACTTATATTTGTATAAGAATAATAAATTTTATATCAAATTTTGTATTTGATCTATGTGGATATGACAGTTGTAATTTATTAAAAATTAATAATTAATTAATAATTATAACTCAATAAATTATCATCGTCAAATGAATAGAGAGTAACAATTAAGATTTACACACATACATATATATAGAGTCATGATCATTTTATATCAGTGTAAGTTACACTCTCAATCTTGATATTTGATCCTATTTATATCTAACGGTTCTGATTTATTGGACATGTAAATCGTTAAATGCAAGCAAATCAATAATTAAGATTTAGTGAAAAAATTCTTATTCTTTTAATATGATCCAATAAATATTAACCGTTTGATGTACGAAAATCAACGATTAAGATTTGATATAAACTTATTATTCTTATATCGATATCAGTTGATTATATATATATATATATATATATATATATATATATATATATATATATATATGAGGTAGGATCCTTTGACACCGGTGTCAAATTTGAAGTTTGACACCTCATCTGAGAATCGTTAGATAAAAAAAGATCAATGGTGTCACATGCTTACAAATCAAAGTCGTTGATTTTTTTTTATCTAAGGGCTCTCATATGAGGTGTCAAACTTCAAATTTGACACCGGTGTCAAAGGATCCTGCATATATATATATATATATATATATATATATATATATATATATATATAGAGACAGGATCCTTTGACACCGGGGTCAAAAAAAAAGTTTGACACCTCATCTGAGAGCTGTTAGATTAAAAAAAAATCAACGATTCTGATTTGTAAGCATGTGACACCATTGATTTTTTTTAATCTAACGACTCTCAGATGAGGTGTCAAACTTTTCCTTTGACACCGGTGTCAAAGGATCCTGCCTCATATATATATATATATATATAAGTTTATTAATCAATCAATTAATTCATCAATCAATTAATTCAATCGAGTCAGAGCGGATCACAAAGACGGAAAAACTCTTTCTTACCAAATAAATAAAGTCATGCATCTCTTCATCTATGGCTGGTCAATGTCTATGTAATTTTCACTTATACTCATCATCTGGGTGAAATTTCTTAATTAAAATATAGGAAGTATCAGCTTATTTTCTTTTTCTTTTTTTCCTCGTTGAGAATTTTAAATTTCATCAACCGGAATTCTGATCACAAAACAACTTAATTAAATTTTGTGTTTAAGTGCCTTTTTGTTGTGCTAAAAAGAAAAACAGAAAAAAAAAAAAAAGACGTGGAAAATTTTGCTTGTTAAATAAATGGTTAGGATAAAGAATCTGTACAGAAAATGTTAGGAAAGGAAACTGCGGGCTTTGAAAGAAGAATAAAGAGCAAGACATAGCTAACTATTAGCTGTCATTCCTAGATTCTTTGCTTCATAGAATAAAAGATCTTCATCAAATGAACAAATACAATTAACCTGTTTTTTAAAGGGAAAATATTTTCCCATCTTATTGGATAAAATATTCCCTCTTTTACACAAATAAAAAGGTGAGTTACAGTGGTATAAATGGATCAGACCGGCCTAACTTATATTAGGTCAGATTTGACCAATTATAAATAGTCAAATAGAACAGGCTCAGACTTTTAAAAAAATCTTTTTAGAAAGTAAGGCATAAGTTTTTTTGTACATGTCAGGCTTATAAATTTATAGGCCGGCCTATATCGTATTATTTTATTTTAAATAAAATTGTTATTTCAATAATTTTGAATAATAAAGTAATATTGTTTTAATTATATTTTAATTATTAAATATTTAATAGACTTAAGTATGCTAACAAGCCTAGGCTTAGGTTTTTATTTTTAAAATACAAGTCAGACCAGACTTGTAAATTGAGCCTACACAGGGTAAAAGGTTAGGTCAAGAGTAAATTTTTTTACCCAGGTCTAACCTATTTAAGTCAAACCCTAACATAGCCTAGCCTATTTACACCATAGTGAGTCATTTTAACCTCTCTTTTCTTTTTACAAATAGTGGATCTCATATATTTTGTCTCTATGACATGAGACAAGTTATTTCCTTTAACATAAGATTAATAAGTCCATTTTCTAAATGTTAAAAAAATGATCATATATCTCATATATTATATAAATAATTTCGTGCAGATTCCTGGTGTTATAATCTAATCTAGTTCTGTGTCTCTGAAGGGTTAATTAGTACTGATTATATTTGTTGTCCTTGTCGGCCACACATACTCATTCGTACGCACAAAAAGATACATTTGTTCCTGTATTTAGGTATCAAATCGGCTATACGCCAAGCTTAGGAGATAATAGCTGCTACTAATTAACAATTCACAACCGTACATTAACTCTACTTTCTATATAAACTAGAAATCGTAAACCTTATGCTGAGAAAGAGCCAATGAATGATGTGCCGCAATTCCCTTTAATTTTCCAAATTGAAACTCTACAAACCAACAATGGTATCAATTGAAGAATTGATGCAAATGAAAAACCATGTGTTTATTAATTAGGGGTAGAAAAAAAAATTAAATTTAGCTATTTGGATACAATAAAATATTGGGTATTTAATTAATGGGGAAGGATCTGTTTACAAACATTTTTTTTACAAACTACACTATGTCTGACCGGTAATACTCTTATTAGAATAGGATCGGATCAATTTGTTAGGATCAGTTTGTTCTGAGTTTGTTTGTATCATGTTTGTTCTGACTAACAAGTTTGTTACTGTGTTGTTACTTTGTAAATCAAATACGTTAGCTAGCTGTTCTGTTTTTCAGTTCCTTAGTTTTAGCCGTTCCTATTGTATTTCTTTGGTCTATATATTCGACCTCATTCAATTAAATCAAGGCAAGCTGCTAATTGACAGCGACAAGTACTGTTTCCAAGGAACTAGGCGATTCCTCCAAACCTAGGGTCACTTGCACCTACTGTGGCAAACCCTACCACGACGTAACCAAATGTTATCAGCTGATTGGTTACCCAGATCGTCCCAGTACTGGACGTGGACGTGGGCGTGGTCGTTCATCCAATGTTCACCCTCAACCACCATCTGCCAGAGCTACTCACACTAATACGACTTCTGCACCTACTGAGCCGTCTACAACATCAATCTCCATGGCAGATTTTACACCGGATGTTCTCCAACATCTAATGTCCTTAGTTGTATCCTCTGCACCCCCAATTGAAAAACTCACGGGTAAGATTTTTCAACCATCTTGGATCATCGACAGTGGTGCGTCCCAACACATGACGGGCACACTCTCCTACCTCTCCAATGTGCATTCTATCTCGCCTTGTTCAGTTGGCCTGCCGAATGGAGTTCGTGTCATTGCTATGCAATGTGGCACCATTACTTTGGGCTCCTCCCTACATCTCTCTAATGTCCTTTATGTTCCTTCTTTGACTTGCAATTTGATCTCTGTCTCTCAGCTACTTCGACAGTCTTGCATGGCACTGTTTGTTAATTCTGTCTGTCTGTTACAGGACCTACAGCGGAAGAGGACGACTGGATAATAGGTGTTGAACGTGAAGGGGTGTACATTTTGTGCTCATCGTCTGCATCTGCTAACGTCGCCAGTACTTCAGATTCAGCGGCTATATGGCACCGTCGTCTGGGGCACCCATCTCCCCGTTATTTGTCTCTATTACCTTTTATTTCCCATGCAAATAAATTGGCTCCTTGTGACGTTTGTTGTAAAGCCAAACAACCACGTAGTCCTTTTCCTATTAATAATAAAAGATGTTTGTATTCATTTGAATTACTTCACTATGATATATGGGGGCCATATCATATGGCATCTACAACTGGTGCTCCTTACTTCTTAACTATAGTCGACGATTTTAGTAGACATGTTTGGATATTTCTGATGCGCAGTAAAAACGAAACATCAGCATGTTTACTTCGGTTTCTCAACTTGGTTCGTACCCAACTTAATGCGTCAGTTAAGCGTATTCAGAGTGACAATGGAACTGAATTTCTGTCCGTTACAGTCCAAGAGGCTTTCTCTTCTTACGGTATTCATCATCAATTATCATGTACTTACACCCCACAACAAAATGGACGCGTCGAACACCGCCATCGTCACATCCTCAACGTGGCTCGTGCTTTGCGTTTTGATGGTCATCTTCCTATCTCTCTTTGGGGAGAATGTATCTTGTCAGCTGCTCACCTCATCAACATGACACCTACCCCACTACTTGGCGGTCAGTGTCCCTACGAAGTCTTCCATGGCACCCACCATCATACGGTCACTTAAGAGTCTTGGGTAGTTTATGTTACTCCACTGTTCTACCCAAACCAAGTGACAAGTTCGAAACTCGCTCCCGTAAGTGTGTATTTGTTGGTTACCCATTCAACAAAAAAGGATGGAAGGTCATGGATATCTTAACTCAAGAAATTTTTGTCTCTCGTGATGTTTTATTTCACGAAAACATTTTTCCATTTGCTGAGTCACCATCGGATCAGATTATCCATGCACCGCCAACACAAGCGGTCATTACTGATTATGATGAGGTACCTATTGCTGAAATTGACAATACACCACCACAGATCGACGACAGGGGGAGTATGTCTTCATCAGTTACTAGTCCACCAGTCACAACAACGGAACCCAGCCCGTTACCTATGGTAGCTGTTCGGGAACCTCGTGCACGGCGTCCACCTTCTCATCTACAGGACTTCGTATGCAACACAATGACTACACCCCTTCCTCGTCTCTCCACCCCTACAATCGCCTCAGGTATTCAGTATCCTCTCCAACAATATGTTACTAATGCATTATTCTCTTCGAAACACCAGCTTTTTCTTGCAGCAGTGGATGGCCAATTAGAGCCTAAAATATTTAAAGAGGCAATGCAATATCCTCACTGGCAGAAAACTATGCAAACTAAAATAGATGCATTAGAAGACAATCACACTTGGCACATTACTCCTCTTCCTCCCGGAAAGAAAGCCATTCCCTGTAAATGGGTGTATCATATCAAGTATAATTCTGACGGAACTATTGAACGCTACAAAGCACGTCTGGTAATTGCAGGGAATAATCAGATCGAAGGAGAGGATTACACTGAGACTTTCGCACCTGTAGCCAAAATGACAAGTGTGCGTACATTTTTATCTGTGGTTGTGACTAGAAAATGGAGCATTTTTCAACTGGATGTCCAAAACGCCTTCCTCCATGGAGACTTAGATGAAGAAGTCTTCATGAGATTTCCTCCTGGTTTCTCCCAAACGAAATCTGGACATGCATGCAAGCTTCAACGTTCACTTTATGGTCTCAAACAATCCCCACGAAATTTGTTTGCCAAACTTCGAAGTTCACTAATCAGCTTCGGGTTTGTTCAGTCTCGTGTAGATTATAAGTTGTTCACTTACTCGAGTGGCTCACATTATGTTGCTATCCTTGTCTATGTGGATGATATTTTATTAGCAGGCAGTGACCCTTCTCTCTATGTTCGAGTAAAAGCTCATCTTCAAACATGGTTTAAAATCAAAGACCTTGGCAACCTCAAATATTTCCTTGGTATTGAATTTGCTAGACAAAAGACCGGTTTGTTTCTTAGCCAACGCAAATTTGCTTTGGATATTCTTCAGGAATGTGGCCTTCAAGGATGTAAACCAGTAGCTTATCCTATGGATCCTAATCACAAACTTGCTCTTGCCGAAGGTCCTCCGTTTGAAGATCCTAAACGTTATAGGCGCATTGTTGGACGTCTAGTTTACCTCACGATTACCCGACCAGAACTAAGTTATGCAGTTCACACACTGTCACAATTTCTGCAGAATCCTATGCAGCTCCACTATGATGCGGCCATTAGAGTACTTCGGTACATTAAGTCCAATCCTGGCCAAGGACTCCTTCTTAGATCCGACAGTGATCTTCTCATTCAAGCATATTGCGATTCAGATTGGGCTAGCTGTCCACTAACACGAAAATCTGTTACAGGATATTTTGTCACTCTTGGACATTCTCCCATTTCTTGGAAAACCAAGAAGCAAAATACAATATCCCGCTCCTCAGCTGAAGCTGAATATCGGGCAATGGCAGCAGCCACCTCCGAACTTATTTGGATCAAATCATTTCTCAGCTCTCTTAGCATTCCTCACGAAGTGCCTATGCAACTTTTCTACGACAGTCAGTCAGCCATCCATATTGCCTCTAATCCCGTGTTCCATGAGCGTACAAAGCATATCGAGTTGGATTGTCATTTTGTTAGAGAGAATGTTCTCAGCAAGACTATTTCCACTCAACACATCAGAACCAGCTCTCAGCCGGCTGACATTATGACCAAAGCTCTCGGTTCGAAACAATTCGATTTCTTGACTTCCAAGTTGGGCATCTCCTCCCTCCATGTTCCAACTTGAGGGGGAGTATTAGAATAGGATGGGATCAATTTGTTAGGATCAGTTTGTTCTGAGTTTGTTTGTATCATGTTTGTTCTGACTAACAAGTTTGTTACTGTGTTGTTACTTTGTAAATCAAATACGTTAGCTAGCTGTTCTGTTTTTCAGTTCCTTAGTTTTAGCCGTTTCTATTGTATTTCTTTGGTCTATATATTCGACCTCATTCAATTAAATCAAGGCAAGCTGCTAATTGACAGCAACTTCTGTTAACTCTACTCAAAAGTGTATTACCGATCATACATAGTGTAGTTTGTAAGAGTTTGTAAATATAACATTCCCCTTAATTAATTGGACATATTGAAAATAAGCTTTTTTTTTTTCTTCTGAAAGCCAAAAAAACCCGACATATAAAATTTGTCTACACAAAAGAACCTAAAATTGCCTTTAAGGGTGTCCAATTATTCCCAATGATGAGTACCTAACACAAACGAGAATAGCTGCTCCTTTCAGCTAACAATCCCAACAACATCTAAGGAACCCCACTGTCTTCACGTGGACATCTCATGGTGTATGTTGGAGCAACTCTTTCATTGATTGACTTTGTTATATTGTTTTAGATACCATTCTCTCTATTTGTTAAATAAATTGGATTCCCTATATATATATAAAAAAGGCTATACAAAAAACAAGGCCTGCATCAAATTAAACCACAAAGATTCTCCAAAAAAACTAAACCCCACGGCTAGTTCTTGTGCCCTAGGGTCACCCAAACGTTCTCTCATTAAAAGCGATTAGACCCCACAAATCTAGATTCTATGCCAAAGCCAAACATGCCCACATCATAACCCAACTTTTAACTCTTCCACTTCCAAGAGTATTTTCCTCTTGTTTTATTAGGCCTTATCCGCTTTTGACACATATATATACCCTCCCACCCTTTGCATTCCTCAACATCAAACAGCAACCAAAACCCCCCCTTATAAACTCCTTTCTCCTCTCCTCTCCTCTCCTCTATATATTGCTTGTGATTTTCTTATATATCACTAATCCACCAGAAGCAGTGATACCCTGAAACTCAAAAACAACCTTCATATTAGAAGAAGAAAAAAAATGTCTGGGGTTTGGGAATTCAACAATGGTGTGATTCGTTTGGTGAAAAACCCTCAAGCTGATGGAAGGCAAGGCTCAAAGAAAAAGGTGCTGGTTCACTTACCAACAGGGGAAGTGGTTTCTTCTTACTCTTTTCTTGAGCAAATCTTGACTGGTTTAGGGTGGGAGAGGTACTATGATGGAGACCCTGACCTGTACCAATTCCACAAGCACTCTTCTATTGACCTAATCTCTCTCCCAAAGGACTTCTCCAAGTTCAACTCAATCAATATGTATGATATAGTCATCAAGAACCCCAATGTTTTCCATGTCCGGGATAAGTGAGTCTTCATTTTATTTTTTTTAATTTATTTTAGCTTTAGGTCTATCTAAGTTTTCAATCTATTTTCTGATGATGTTAGTGTGCTCTTATATATAGCTAGAGTTTGTGGAAACTCTAGTAGAATTTGATGGTTTTTGCTTTGTGTTTGTGAGGAATAAGTTAGATGATTGATGGTTTTTGTACATTGAGTGGTATATGTGTGCTTGGGGTGCTTATGTAACATATAGAGTATTGATTTCTAATAACATTACTATATGCATTTCATGAATTTTCCCATTTCTTATTTTCCTCTCTAAGTGGTCCTATTATACGTACTTGGGAGTGGTGTGTTTAATTTTGAGTGGATTTGATTTTTGGAGAGAGAGAGAGGAGCCCCTTCTTATGTTGTACGTTTTGTCATGTGTCAACATACTAGGATTACATTTGTTCCCTAAATGTAGAAACGCCTATTCAGCCCAAAGTTTCAGTGTGATAAAAGGCATGGTTTGATTGATTCAGAGAAACAGAAAGTGGATGTGGGTTTAAATAAGCACGTGCCTGTCTGTTCCCATGGATTGACACGTCTCAAAAGGTGAGGGGACTAAATTTATCACGTGCCTATCTTTTCTCAGGAATTAGCGCGTTGTAAAAAATGTGAGGAATTTTTGGAGTTAACTATATGGACTAATTTAGAATAATTAATCACTTGTAAAATTATAAAACAAAGCGCCATATAAATTATATCTCTTTTATTTGGTTATATGTCATGTTTCTCTTTTTTTGTCACATATTATTAATCAAATAAATAAAATAAAGTTTTTTTTTGGTCACTTCGAATATGTATAGGATGTATTACAAAACATACCATCAATATATATATATATATATATATATATATATATATATATATATATGCAAAGTTGGTGAAATGGTAAAATGAACAAGTAAAATAAAAATAGCTGAAGTTTAAATCTTATTACTCTCTTAATATTTTTAAATGTAATTAATGAACACGTACAGATTACAGTCTACTCTAGATTAGTATATTGAAGCAACTAAAATCTGGCTTAGGAGATAAAATTAAGTTGATCACAGTTAACATTTAATAAGGAATATAAAAGAATATATATATATATATATATATATATATATATATATATGCTCACTTGTAAACAACTATGCTTCTATATTCTTCCTCTTCGCATGAGTATATTGAAAAGAGTACTAAATTTAGATTCACAAACAGTTGTGGATTAAATCTATAGAAGTAGGGTTAAAAATTGAAGTTTCAAAAATTTAGAAGTGGTGTGAGATAATTTTGGCTTCCCCGTAACGCTATCCAATCAGAATGTGGGCGTGAAGGGCACCAATGACTTAGAGAGAGTGCACGAGTGCAGTAGTCTAGAGAGATAATCTTAGCCAAAAGAATATGTCACCCAATCAGAATATGAGTGTGAAAGGCCAAAAAGACGAACAACTCGTCCAATAAGATGTCTATGTGTCAGTGAAAGAGAAGAAACTTGATGATTGATAAAGAATCCCGCAGCCAGCCAATGATATCTGCAAATAGCTATATATATATATATATATATATTATTTTGCAATTTCGAGGGTGTAACGAATGATAAAATAATTATTATCATAGTTAAATTTTTAAAAATATAGTAACAATAATTTGATAATAACATGAAAAATTATATCAATAATAATAAATTAAATTAAATTTTAATTTTAGATTATTCTTAGTATTAAAAAATTTAACAATATTATTCTTATTTAATTGTGTATTGACATATTATTTGAAATTATTCTCAAATGATTATAATCAAAAGTAAAGTTGTTACACTATAAAATGAATAATAACTAAACTCATGTAACTATAAAATGTTCTATAAATGCGTACATGCATGACGTATTTCGTTATTTGGATTGGGAATGAATATGATGTTATGGAATATGAATTTGAGAAGCGTGAGTTGAGAGGTAAAAGAAGAGGAGGAGAGATGGGACTTCACGTGAGGCTGATTGTGAATGGTTGTCACTGTCGCAGCCTGGGTTGCCACGTGCTCCCAACGGAATCTACCTTATACGAAAACGAAATCTTAGCCATTCTGCCATCCATAATTTCTTTTTCTTTTTCTTTTGACCAATCGACAATTTGTTATAGCATCGTGTGCAAGTATTCCTTTTTAAAAAACAATAATACAGAATTTTATTAGGAAAATTATATTCTTATGTTGCATAATATTTATTTCTCATGTTAACTCACATAAAAAATGTGTTTTTTTAAATAAATAAATAAATATATTGACTTTACTTTATCTCAATAACATAAGATAACTCTTTTCTTATTATATGAGGAAAATAAAAATATTTTATTATGTAAAGAGCTAAAAGAATAAAAAGGTATCATGTGACAGGACATTGACTTTTGTGCCATATTTTGTAATAAAAATATCACTTGAATGCTACAAATTTAAAAAAAAAAATTCAAACTGCCATATCAATGAAGTTGTTATGCACTGTAGCTGCTATAGTCTAGCCACGTAACATGTTTGTAGGGGCCACAAAAGCCTGGTTAATTTGTTTGGCCAAAATCGCTATATGGTGTAGCTACTTTGGCCTGTTTTGAACGAAAGTGGCAGTTTTTTTTTTTTCAAAATTGCTCCATAATATAGTTACTTTGGTCTAGTTGACAGCTTTGGGGCTAAAGTGGCTACGTATAGCTACTTTGGTCATCAACGTAGGTAATTTTTTTAAGGAAAAAATGTGTATTATTTTGAAGGATGTAAAGTTGTATTATTTTAAGTGAGAGAAAACGATAGACAAAGAAGAAGAAGAGAGTGGACAAAAAAAATAAAGGTATGGGTCACACCTCCTTTGTGAGAGTGAAATGATATAAGTTATGTCAATTAAGAGGACAAATATTTTTTCCTTATTTTAAAACAAAAACAATGGAGAGAAATGTTTCTAATCATTAATCAATTAATCAACATGTTTGTCGAAAATCATAATGTAAGTAAAAAGAGAAATTCAGAGAATAAGAACCTGTTGGCATCGAAGATCAGAATCGGAGGAGACCCAATAAAATAATGCACCATCGTCTGTGAGAGCCATGCTATGTTACTGTGTACCATTCCAGCAGCAATAGAAACCACATGAACTCGTTCCATGCGATGAAGCTTCAAAGGAGTGTAGTAATCACTACACGTTTTGGAGTAACAAGTCGAAGACCCCAGGTGTAAACCTGCAAAACAAGGAAAATTAGAACTTAAAAATGAAAACTAAAAACTATTATTATTTCCTAAAAAACAAATTAACTGACAACATCCAACCGGTTCTTATTCTCTGAATTTCTCTTTTCACTTACATTCTGATTTTCGACAAACATGTTGATTAGAAACAATTCTCTCCATTGTTTTTGTTTTGAAAAATTATGTACAGTGATGACCAAAGTGGCTACATTATGCAACAACTTTGGCCCCCAAAGCTGTCAGCCGCACCTTGTAGCGATTTTGATATTAAAAAAAAAAAAAAAAAACTGTCTCTTCTGTCCAAAATAGTTCAATGTAGCTACATGATATAACGACTTTGGCCAAACAAATTGACCAGGCTTTTGTGGTTGCTACAAACATATTACTAGGCTATACTATAGTCGCTATAGTGCATAGCAACCTCACTGCTGTGACAATTTGGAAGAAAAAAATTAGATTCATGGCATTCAGTTAATTTTTGTTACAAAATATGGCACGTCTCATCATGTGACAGCATGAAGATGAAATTTGTCTACACTTTACGTCTCATCAGGTTCGGTTTTCCTTTCATTTTTTTTATATAATTACGGCACCAGTGTTTAAATTTGTAACATTGTACAGGTTACTGAAATATCTTGTAACTATTCATCATATATGCAAAAATTTAAATAATTTAAAAAAAAATGATTTTAATAAAACACAAGAATAGATACACATGATATGGGAGATATTAAGATTGGATCCTTGGCCACACTCTCCTGCCTATCTCTCGAAAAGATTTGGGTTCCTAAACTGTCTCGAGATCCACGTTGGATTCCTGGACTTACTCAGGTGGTAGAATCCTCCTGGTGCGACAACGGAGCGAAGTGTGCCTGTGAAAGAACTGTGAAGTTGAAGTCAGGGCTAAGGGTTGGCACCGTTGGCTTCAATTTAAAAACTTCAAGCAAATTATAAAAAAACAAAAATATAGTTCACAGGGACTGAATTGAACTAATTTTATTTTGATTAAAAAAAAAAGGAAAACCAAACCTGAAAAACTAGTTATTCCAGTTCGATTAACTAGCTTTCTTTTATTTTAATTGGTTCATTTCTGTCCAATAACTGGTTTTAATCCATCATTGTTTGGTCAGGTTTGATTCTGTTCAGTTCAAAGTTCGGTTTACCTCGATATTAGTATATTCAACGCGTTTACCTCAGACAGGGAATAAAGGAAAACGAAAAGTGATGGCGGAGAGCAATTCCGAAGCTGTCATCAACCTTCACTGCGGACCAGAGAAGAGTGCACAAGTTCGCAATCAGTTACAGACGAGGATCATCAGAAATCGGACAATCAGTCACAATCATTCGGTTTTGAGCATACAATATATTAATTCATCCAAAAACATATCTACATCATTTTAACCTATAAATCAAAATAGACCAACACTAATAGCTTCAGTGGTTCATGTCCTAGTATGTAGTATCCAGCTCGATCATCAGCTCAGGTGACAGAAAATATCAAGCTTGTTTGTAATGGAAGTCATCTATGGTGGAGTATACTAAACCATCATCTCCAAGAGTCTTTAGCGACAACCTGGCATCATCAGCAGCTTTGAGTTACATCATAAGCAAATCTCTATAGCAAGACAAATAAATATAAAAATAAGGGAGCTCACATGATCTTGTCCAATGGAAGCTTGAGCTCTCGAGATAGTTCTTCAACATGTATACCCCGTTCATCAGAGCTGCAATTTAAAACCAATTTTGAAATATTTCAGCATCAAAACTCACATTAAGTGAATATTGTAGTGTGATGAGAATTTTAACAATCCTAAATTAAATGAAGCTGTGAAATGAAAGGTAACAAATACAAATAAAATTTACAATGCATAACTCACATGTCTGAATGCAGCTGCAGATAGTCAATAACCAATTTATCACAATCCTTCAGTCCATCCACGCTATATTGGGCATATGCCTGAGGTGAGGAAAATTATATCATCAATCCAATCACACTAAAGTCTAATCATCTACTATAGCAACTGACATATCAAATCTCATACTGGCTTAGATGTTGGTGCCTGAGATCCAGTTGATGCATTTCTGACAGGAGTGTTCAAAGATGAGTCTGATGAAGGATGTGCAGAAGTGATTCCTTCCACCTATAATCCAAAAAAATGCAAGAAAAGGCATTCTCTTAAATTATCATGTATGCCCACCTCAGCAAGGCACAACATCTGAGTACATATCAACAGTCAAAATCAACACTTTAAATGATCCAATAAATGGATTATACACAATTTTCAATTTATCAAATTCCTGAAAGTTTATGCAGGACCCATTACCATCAATCATCATACTGTACTGTGATCTAACAGAAAATTGTTTCGTAGTAGCATGCAAAAACTATGTGTACCTTTACTTTGGAGCGGAGGTGGTTATGTATGCAATCAATAAAGTGAAAAGAGATCTCATCAAAATTTGTCACTGGCCTGAGAAAAACAACACAAATATTAAATAAGCAAGATAAAACCAGCCATTTTATAAAACATTCTCCCTAAGTAAAGAAAACTACATATATCATAATCTGGCAAGTCACTTTTCCACAACTAGATATCACTAACGTTTGGTGGCTCACATGTAAATCCATCAGTCAGATAAACCACCATCTTCAAGCCAAAGAATCAAGATTCATTATAATTGGGGGGAAATATGAAAATCCAATGCTACCTCCACAAAGGTAACAAGGAGGCCCATCACCAAGGATAAAACAGATAAATCATATATCTAAACTGAAATCAAATGGCCATAGTTATCAGATAAACCAGTTACATAATTAAATATGCCAGTCTCTAAACATCAGAGAATTTTTGAACTTCATGTATTATAAATATTAGTTCAGCTAACTTCAAAGTTAGGCCAACTCACAAGTTAAACTAATGTCTTTGCAAAAGCATTTCATCTGACAGAGCATGCTAATTGCTAAATAAGGCAAACATAATCCCCTATGCCAAAATCAAAACCACATTCTGTAAGGTTGACATGTTTGAAAAACCCCTGTTAGAATTCATTCACACTGACTACAAAAGGAAATTCTGGAAAACTTCTTTCAAGAGCTGCGTAATTTTAATATTAATAATGACCAGAGGCAACAGAAACATTCATTACCAAGAGACATTTAGTTATCACCCACTTGCAGATATATTCAGCTGTTTTTCTTGGTTTGCTTTGACCATAGAGTTTTATAACTGAATAAAGAAGAGTACAAATGACATGCGTATAAGTTAAATACAAGAAACTAATATCTAATAAGAAGAACGTCTGATACATCCGTTAATGAAACCTCTTAAAACAGCCAAGAAGCATACACCAGAGGCAAATGCAATCCAGCAAAAATGACCCTAAAGCATATCAGCAATAGCTCCCAAGCTTAGTGACCAAACCCACTAATAAGAAAAACCTCAAAATATCCAAAGCAACTAAATGGTGGTGCTTTGAATCATTAAACATAATCAATAATCAGCATTATATGTTATCACATTTAATGGTTCTGACTACTAAGCCTCAGGCTGAACTGCTTTAGGATCTCTCCAGTAGCCATTACATAAGTTGTTGGGCAAGTTTTAGGGCTCTGGCACAACTAATCTTCGAATCATCATCCCCCTCCTAAAAGATAGAGTTTTGACTCCACAGAAGCACCTCACATGGACACAAGTGAGAGACAAGGAGCACAAGCAGTGCCTGGCATGTGAATTGTACAACCATGTTTCAGCTACTGGTTCATGTTAACCCATAATTTGAATGAACCCAGATAAGCCAAAAACCAAATAGTTAACCCTCAAATAACCTGGTTAAAGCAATTGGCTACCCACATTCAACCATATTAGGTCAAGCCCCTCAAAACCTGCATACTGTTGCACCAAATGCTCAAATCAAAATCTTTAGAAGTCCGAATGATGGTCCAATAATCCCAGATATATTACATATTTTGAATCAGGTATCTTTTCCTAAAATACATAATAGTGCCTCAACATTGGTACACCTGATCATCCACAATAATGACCTTGGGAGCTACTCAGTTCTTCAAAATCAAATGTTGCCCTTAATTGTAGATGTTGAGATTTGGTATGTTGTGCATATTTTGAATATTAAAATGTCAAAATCATCAGGGTAAGTGATGCAAAAATGGATTGTGTCTTCTGCATAACTGACTTGAACTAATGTATCTTATCAAAGACTCAGAAGAGAAAATCACATTTTGCAAGCAACAAACTAATCTAGTAAAACTAAAAGTAAATAAACAACCAGGGAAGAATTGACAGAATATGACAAAATGGGTTTAGCACACATGCCTGACAGAGAAGGCAACAAGTTGCCTTACACCTTGAAAGCTTTTCAAATGCCCATAAACACGAACATACATACCATCCCTATCATTGAATAATTTGAGAAAGTGAGAAATATAACAACTACAGACTCGTGTATTAACAATCATTAGCATCCCTAGTTAAGAACTTACATTATTTCTTCCATTTCCTTTGTGTCGAAAGTCTCATTGACCCTAATTATAAAACCAAAAGGAAATTCAGGCTACTTTTCACCACATATGTTAGGGAAACTTTCCCATAACAGTTCATAAATAATCAACCCAGTTGCAAGCACAAGCAGACATAAATTGATGTCTAATTTAAGATAACATTTAGCATGTATGAAGTACCATCTTCGACATTTGATTCGCCCTGTTCCATCATCTAAAATAAAATCAACATCAGTGTTTCGCTCAGTTTTCTCGAACACCATTCCAACCAATGTTACCTGAACCAAAAATATATGAAACAAAAGTTGAAGGGGATTAAAAAACATTATATAGACTGATTTTTTTCTTTCTATATTTCAAACTTAAGAAGCATGGCAGTGCTATTCTGGATAAGATAAAATTTAAATCATTCCAACACCATGAAAATTAACAGGAAATAAAACAAAAGAACCAAAATTCAATAATTTCACGTCGCAACCAATAACAAATTAAATAACACTACAAAAACACCAATCAATAAAGAACGAGTCGTACATTGGCCAGATCTACACCGTTGATTACAAAACTCGACTTTTCATCACCAGATTGAGAGGCTTCACTTATCTGCTTCACTGTCACCGGAACAAGACCCGGAGTATCGCGGCTCTTGAACGAAGAAACGGGAAACCAAGTTAGTCGAGAGATTTAAAAGAAGAAGAAAAAAAAGTGACTACCAACACAGTATTTCGCTAACCCAAGCCTTCAAATGGAAAATCGAAATCCGTTATTTCTTACTTTTTTTATTTTCCCTTATTTGGTAATTTTGTTTCTCAGTGCTTTATTTTGCAGCGAAACGGAAAATTGAGGAGAGATGAGAAAGATCGCTTACTTTTGCCGGTGCCGATGAAGAATCGTGGAGCTGGGAAGACTGGGAGGCCATGAAACCGCCGCCGGAGAAGGCGGAGGTGGCGTCGAATTGGGAGCTGGAGAACATTTGCGAAACCCTAGAAAGAGAAATCGAAGAAGAGATAGATAACAGGGGAATGAGAACAAAAACGATATGCTATGCGAAGAAATGAATGAACAAATCTGAAAACTGGGCTCTTTTTATGTTGTTTCCCGCCAATGATGCTTCGCTTTTCCCGCCGCTTAGGGTTTCAACTTTCAACTTCCACCTCCCTCTATCAGATCACGTGACTGTTTGGTTTAATTTTTGGGTTTTATTAATCTCATGTTAAAGGAGACAAGTTATCTCATGTCATAGAAACAAATTTGTGGGTTCCACCATCTGAAAAATAAAAATAAAAGAAAAGAAAAAAATGACACAGTTATTGAAAAATGTGTAAGAAATAAAATTACCACATATAGCATAAGAGTAATTTTTCCCTTAATTTTTTGTTCACATAAATTGAGTTTCAATGTTAAGGAAAAGTTGCTGCTTCCCAAAATTACAATAAAGCACTTTTTTCGAACAATATCTTTCTTTACACATCTTATAAATAATTTTATTTTATTTTTGGTAATCATCTTATAAATAATTTAAGAGATATATTAGTTTACGATGTAAGAGACTAATATGTTATGTTATAGACATTTTCCGGTCCGATAACCGATTCATCCGGTTGCGGTTTGGAATTGGGTGTGATAACACTTATTGATATTTTTATTAACTTTTTTAATTACAAAATAAATTTATTTAAACAAGTGTCAAATGAACTTTTTAAAAATGGTAATCTATTTATCTCTTTTAGATAAAAAAAAAAATACCTTACAGAAAACTTACCAAAATTAGAGTTCACTTTGATTTAACCGACTTGTTTACGCTAAGTATTACTTTTAAAGAGACAAAGTGTAAGTTATAATTTCAATTTTTGTTGTTAATTTTATTAAAATCTATTAATTTATGTAATTAATAAAAAGATTAATGTTTTTCCTTTAATTTTATCTTCTACAACTTTAAAATGACGTCATTTTGGAGTTTAAAATTAAAAAAAAAGTAATAAAATTTATGATATAAGAGGAAAATAAAAAATTTAAATATCTTTTTTTTAATTTTAAACTCCAAAACGGTATCTTTTTGGGATTGCAGGAGATAAAATTATTTTGTGATGGAATAAATATTTTTCCCACTAATAAATTAGAACCGCTAAACGTAAATAAATTAATAAAATTTAATATGAAATTTATTATTCTGATACAGTATAAATTAATACTACTCGAGTTTTAAATAATTCAAACACAAATTTTAAAGTTAACTTATTAAATAAGAGAGAGTTTATATTTACAAACTTTTTCGCTTATAAACTCTTACAATCAAATTTTAATCGTTAATTTCCGTCAATCAAACGGTTATAATTTATTTGATTATACTTATTAATTAATTATTAATTTCTAATAAATTACAATTGTCAGATTAGCGAAAACCAACGATTAAGATTTGGTTGTAAAAATTTATAAGCGAAAAAGTTTGTAAATATATCATTACTCATTAAATAAAGGGTGTTTTTTTATTGTTTTAGTAAACTAAGGATATTATTTTTCTAATATTACATGAGAGAGAAATTATCTCATGCACACATACACACTAAGTGTAATGTGAGTCCCGTTTTATATTTCTCTCTCAATTATTTAGTGGGACTCTCGCGTTGCATTTAGTGTGTACATGAAAAAAATTATTTTCATTTAATATGATAAAAATAATACCCTAAAATAAATGAGTAAATTTTGAGAACCATCTATTCTATCACAAGTCTAAATTTTAAGTATTTAAATTCACTCCACTTATTTATGTCTCCCTCACAAAGAACAACATCAGAGATAGCGATGCAAGATTGAAAGCGAAAGATATCGAAGTGCAAACGTATATGCTATGTCAAGGGAGATGAAGGAAGAGTTGGAAAAGGCCATTTGAAAGGGAGAGGTTGAGCAATGGAGTATTAAGGATACGATGAAATAAAAAAAATAAAAAAAAAAAAGCTTTATGCATTACACCAACGAGGTTTTTGGTAAAGGGATAAATTTTAAATTCCTGAAAAACTCACGTTGGAAATCCTATTTCTCCACTTTTGGTTAAAGATTCTAAAAATTTATAGGAGATTGAGATTCGCAAGAATTAATTTTATTCTTGGATTCTCATCCTGTGCGAAAAAATTTATTTATTTATTTCAGAAAAAAACACCCTTAGCTTTTTTTTTTCTTCTTATTTTTTGTACCGTTTTCATCTGTTACTATTCCAGAGCTTCAGATCTTGAAGCTAATGCCAAAGCGGCTTTCGTGAATGAACACTACAAACTTGCCTTTGACCTCCTCACTCAGGCTATTGCCTCTTCTTCTTAATTTTTGTACCGTTTTCATCCATTACTATTCCATAGCTTTAGATCTTGAAGCTAATGCCAAAGCGACTTTCATGGATGTACACTACAAACCTGTCTTTGACCTTCTCACTCAGACTATTACCCTCGGCCCTAACAACGCTGACCTCTGTGTCGACCGTGCCCAAGCCAATATAAAACTCAACAACTTCAATGGTATGCAGCTTTTCTTTCAAAGAAAGTTTGTGTCTTTTTGATACCTTTTTGCTGGTTTTGTATAAATCATCAACTTCTAGTTAGAAACTGAAACCATGTTCAATTGGGTCATGTCTTATGGGTATAGAGTTTGGTAGGGTTAAGAAGTTTTAACCAATATGGGGTTTTTGTTGTTTGGGTGTTTGTGAGAGTTTATGGTTTGGGGACTAATTTTTTTTTTCCTTGTTAGAGGTTGCTGTTGATGCAAAGAAGGCAATTTAGTTGGGGAGTGGATCATTTCATATTAAAATTTCACATGGACTGGTCATGTGAAATTCTTGTGTCAGTCAATCTCTTTATATGCATTAAATAGGTGGGGTCAAATTATCATTAATAAAGAAAGATGTAGATATAAAAATTTCATATTACCAGATGATGTGAAATTTTAACATGAGAGGATACATTCTCATTTAGTTAAATCATTCTCATTAAAAAGCATATTTACTTATTGTAAACTAATTAATATTGAGATATTATTATTTTTCGTGAAGGTTGAACTAAAAAGGTGGTTTCGGTGTGGACATTAAAGGTTAAATCGATTTGATAGTGTTTATGGTTGATTTGAACTTAATCCCTTTTTTTCCTTTATCTTATTCCTTTTACATGTTATATTAACAGTTATTATTAATGGATATGATGCAGTTACTAACTTGCAAGTTATAATGATTGTGGTCTATCATCTTATAGTATGAAAGAATCGTGGATTGGGGCCATACTCTGGGCTCCACTTATGCGTTCTGAGAACGGCTCACGATTTGGGTTTCGAGTATACGAGTTCGTAATCTACAGGCTTATTTTATCCGGGCAATGATATATGACCTTCCTGAGTTATAAACCCAGAACAGGTGGATTGTCTCATACTCATAGAGATTAATTTTGTAAAATCATCCCACATTTCTAACAATATTTGATAATCAAACAAACATATAATAAAGAAACTTGAGTCAATATTTCTGATAATATTTTAGTCCATCAAATAACTTTTTGTAAATATTTATGAAAAATTCACATTCTCAATATATTATTGGGAATTATAATTCATAGGAACAAAAAAAATTTCCCATTACCAAATGCTCCCTAAAAAAATGACTTTTGAGAAAGGAGAGATAGACTATCAATTATTAAAAGCAGTGTATACAAAGTAAGTTATAATTAAAACCTTACTTAGCGAGAGAGACTGTTAGGGGACATTTAGTAGAGGATAAATTTTTTTTTTACGAGGAAAATATAATTAATAGGAATATGGTGGGAAAGGAAGTTTGGTAGGAAAATTAAAAAAAAAATTGTTTGGTTGGCCAAAATTTTACCGGGAAAATTGTGTAGAATTTTATAAAATTATGTTTGGTTGAAGATAAAATATAGATGGAAAAATGGGTTAAAATCACCAAATTAACCCGTTTATAATTTTTGAATGTGAATATATCTCTCTTCCAACGTTCATGTTCTTTAGTTGGGGTATTTTGGTCTCTATCATGATGTCCCCTTTGCCATTTACCCATGCAATTATAAAAACCACCATTGAAGTTGTCATTAGAAACAGTGAAATATTCCTCATTTTACACACACTCTTCAAATGCTAGGGAAATCTGTTAGATTGGAAAATTTTTGAAAAATATTCACCAAACATGGATGTTCAAGAATCCCAAAACTAGATACATGGAGTAATAAAAATATAACCTCAACGGAACACCCCCTTAAAGGCATTTAAAGGCATACATAGGAAATATAATTAAATCCTAATTAGTAAAAAATTAGATCTAAAGAAAAAAAAATTAATACACAATAAAAGTAGAAATTATTACCAAATAAATCTACATTTGGACAAATGTTTTCCTAAAATGTACTAACTTTATTTAATATATATACAATTGAGATTAAATATAAGATTTGTTATTAATATAAGTTGATTCTTTCCTCTTCTCTCTTTGTAGACAGATATTTTAACATTGTAGTTTGACACTCCATTTAAACGGTTAATTTTCACCGATCTAATAATTGTAATTTATTGATTATAATCATTAATTTATTATCAATTTCCTAAAAGTTTGTTTATGCTTTAACTCTTTTATAAACTAGTTTTTAGTTTAAGTCAGATCCTTGGAGATAAGGCGAAGAAGAGTTGCGTTCGTGGCATCAGAAAAACCCAGTAATTGAACTCCACGTAGGACCCAACTCGATTTTCATCACGCGTGGACAATAGATATAGAAGCTTCATTATTTGAGTTTTCATAGCCATGGCTACAACTTCAGCTTCTGCGTCTCTCCTCCAACCTCGTTCATTCGGAGTCAGAAGCCATAACCCTCCAAGACCCAAATCCTTCACCCTCCCTTTCCCTCAGCGGAATCGATGCCACGTCAGCTTCAGAGTCTCCGCTTCGGTTTCCGTCTCCAACCCTGACGTTCGAACCGGCCCAGATGATCTTGTAGCTTCCATTCTTTCGAAGGTTGTTGTTCTTTTTATTTTATTATTTTTTTACTGTGAATTTTAGAATTTTCATGCATTTGTTTTCGCGATTATTGTTTATTATAAGATAATTTTATCTCTTTTTTACACACATAAAAATAAAAATGCATGTGATCCATTGAACCGTACGAAGAGAAGACAGAGAAAAAGATAAAATTGAGCCTACACATTGTAGGAGCTACATGAGATACATTTTACAATGCATTGTGATTGTTATTCTCGTTTTTTTCAGCTACAGAGGTAGTTATTAATTAAATGGGGGAAAGTGTTTGTATTTTTAAATGAAACAATTTGTTTTATTTTAATATGATAGAGATATATAAAATTATTAATGTAACCTCGCCTAAGATTTTGGATTCAATTTGTTTTTTATATCGTATCAGAGCCTCGTGTCCTGGTTCGATCCTCCCGCTTTCTCTTATGAAATTTCTTAACACAAGTAGGTAGGTGGCCTGTGTATTGTCCACACTTCAAGCTCAGTGGGCTCTCGTGTGAGGGGGCGTGTTAGAGATATGTAAAATCATTAATGTAATCTCACTCAATATCTTAAGGTTTTGGGTTGAATTGCTTCTTTATTCACAAAGAGTGAGACCCATATTTTTATTTTTATTTTGTCCTCTCTCTCATGATTTATTTAGCACAACTTTACATCCTTTAGAATGACACACATTTTCTCTTAATTAATACGGTGTTTTTTTTATTAAAATTTATTTCCGTAGTAAAAATTGAATTATGAATTTTAAATCAGGTGGTGCAAACAGATGGAGGAGTTTCACTGAAAAAGGAAGAACATAAGGAGGTGGCTGAAGTGGCTCAGGAATTGCAGAAGTATTGCGTGAATGAGCCTGTCAAATGCCCTTTAATATTTGGAGGTGAATCCATATTGTCCTGCTCAACCTTCAGATTGTGTCATTTATTTTATTTGTTATTTTAAAAATTTGTGAAGCAAAAGGTAAAAATAACAAAATGAAACAAAGTGAAATAGAGGTAACATTTTAGTAATTGTAAGTTTGTAACACACCTTTAAATGAAACACACCTTTGATTCTTCTGGGTTTTATCTTTGTTCACGGTATATTCTAAAAAATAGTCCACTTTCAACTTCTAATCATTTTTTGTATACTTTCATTTTGATTTTTCAATAATACTTAAATCAGTTATATGAGAGTAATCCGGTTCTTGCTTTACACTTTCTTTCTTGTTCATTACATTGACAAAAATGATTTTCAGAGTGGGATGTGGTGTACTGTTCACAGCCAACATCACCTGGAGGTGGCTATAGGAGTGCATTGGGCCGTCTTTTCTTTAAAACAAAGCAAATGATTCAGGTTGTTGAAGCTCCTGATATTGTGAGAAACAAGGTCTCCTTTTCTGCTTTAGGCTTTTTGGATGGAGAGGTGTCTCTGAAGGGTATGTCACTTAACTATTTAAGTGTAACTTGCACATGCTGTTAAAGAAAAATAATAACATTAAAATATAAGACCATTAATGTGCCTTCATCAAATAGCTTAATCTTTTGGGTTGGAATGTTTGTTTACATTGTAAGTGTTCGTCGTAACCAAGTGATCACGTGCAATGACTAAAGTTTTTGGGTGTTGAATTTTTTTTTTTACATTATAAGCATCCTGGGCTCTTGTGAATGAGCTTATTAGAGAAATATAATATAATACCTTTAGTGTGACTTTCACCTAACGACTTAAGCTTTTGGATTGAATTGGTGTTTTATACATGTTGATAGCACATCCAGATAAAAGGTATTGACAGCAAAACTTAAAATTCTAATTTTTGTTAATTCAAAACTCTAAACCAAACGAATGAATGGTTATTGGATGATTTTAATTTCTTCTTTTATCAATAGGAAGGCAAAAAAGACAAAGGAATGACTTAGATTAGATATTTTTTTGATTGCTGCCTAGTTTTTAATCCAGTTTTTATTCACTGTTGTACTTCCTATGCTGATTTGATGCATTGAAACGTGAAACAGGAAAACTCAAGGCTCTGGATAGTGAATGGATTCAAGTTGTATTTGAAGCACCTGAATTGAAGCTAGGATCATGGGAGGTTCAATATGGTGGTCAGAGTGAAGTTAAACTCCGAATCACTTATGTAGATGACAAAATCAGGTTAGGATTGGGTTCCAGAGGTTCCCTGTTTGTTTTTAAAAGAATATGAAATTCAAATGCAATCATAATTTCCTTCGGGAAAAATCTGACGAGTTTGTAACTTTGTACTGTGCACAATTTCATGTGTAATATGATTTTGAGTGTATATCAGTAAGAGCTTAAAAAATAAAATAAAAAACTTTCCAAAGACAAAATTTCTCCTTGGCTGCAGAGTTTGTCTCAAAATGGACTAGGGTGTTATCAGATGCAATGTAGTGTAGTTAACTTGTTACCAAGACAATTCTTCCATTCTTAAGTTTGACTTATTACAGTTGCAATAACCGATCTCTCATTCATTTATGAAAGTGGCAAAAACATTTTATTTTTTATTTACTTTTAGGCATCACCAGATCTTCTAACTGATAGGCAAGATATACTAGTAGTCCAACTGTCCAAGGAGCAGCTACTGTTTCTAAAGAGTAAGTTTATATCTTCCAAACTAAATGAAACAAAATTTCTTAAAAAAACGCCTTAAATTACCGAAAGGTTAAAGCCTTAAATGGTAGGGTGCTCAATTTTAATAAAGTTGACAATGGAATTCTGATTGTTTTCCGCATGTTATCCAACAGCTTATCTATATATAATATTGAACCGGCTTCCTAGAAATCATTCCCTCGAAGTACTAGTCCAGTTTTCAACCCTTCAAAAGATTACTCTTTACCCCGCTTACAAATCCGGAACATGGTTAATCTTTGGCCATGTTTTTCTAACATGGTTTTTTGGTTAGCTCAAAAACCCTGCAACCGCAACTCAATTTCCAGGTGTCAATTCGAGATACGTAACATTGCAAAGATCTTAAGATGTCTGTCACCTTGATGCAACTCGTTTAGTAAAAGTCGAGAGACATTATAGAGAATGTAGGGATTCAATTACTAGCCATGAGCACCCTTTGGGCATAAGACCCTCCCTTTGAAAAAAATAAAATCTTGACATGGTAATTTCGAGCTGGGACAAATTGCATATATGTATATATAGAATGTTATATTTACAAATTTTTTGTTTATAAATTATACTATATCTAACCGGTCATACTTCAATTAAGAGTGTATGATCGGTCATACTTAATGTAATTTGTAAATCGATCTTTCTCATATATATATATATATATATATATATATATATATATATATATATATATAGGCAGGATCCATTGATACCGGTGTCAAATTTGAAGTTTAACACCTCATCTGAGAGCCGTTAGATCAAAAAAGATCAACGACTCTGATTTGTAAGCATGTGACACCATTGATCTTTTTTGATCTAACGGTCCTCGGATGAGGTGTCAAACTTCAAATTTGACACCGGTGTCAAACTTCAAATTTGACACCGGTGTCAAATTTCAAATTTGACACCTCATCTGAGAGCCGTTAGATCAAAAAAGATCAACGACTCTGATTTGAAAGCATGTGACACTATTGATCTTTTTTGATCTAACGACTCTCAGATGAGGTGTCAAATTTAAAATTTGACACCAGTGTCAAAGGATCCTATCTCTCTCTCTCTCTCTATATATATATATATATATATATATATATATATATATTGGGAAAAACATCTATTCTTTTAAAGGATATAAGTTTATATCTTTTTAGATCTTAACCGTTGATTTTCGTCCATCAACGGTTATAATCTATTGGGCCAAACTTAATGGGCCAAATTTATTATTAATTAATTAATAATTTTAATCCAATAAATTATAACCATCGATGGATAGAAATCAATGGTCAAGATCTAAAAAGATATAAACTTATATCCTTTAAAAGGATAGATCCATATATATTATGTGGTATCACAAAGTATTGCAAACTTGTACTTGTAATAACTTGTACTTGTAACTATGTTTATTAGAGAGAGGGCAAAAGTCCAAAAAAACAGAAGAAAAAGTACATGAAATTTACAAACGAAGTCTAAACTCTCCTAAGAGGCTGCAGAGAAACAATAATTGATACAATGTTCATGGTGTTGTTCGCAAATCAATTTGCACATTCATTGCCTTCATGACGAATATACTTGAATAGAAGATTCCAATCTCTTGCTGCACATCATGCTCCCATACTTCAACTTCAAAAGGCTTGGAAGCTCAAACTGTCAAACATGTATATTGGCACTATCCAGTATAGCTAAGAATAACGTAACCGTCCTTAACTTACATGGGAAACTTATTCAGACGATTCTAGGGCAAACTCCACCGGTCATAATCTAGGCAAAGAGATAATCAACAAATAAAACTACACATGAATGAACGATACCCCAAAAACTACACATCATGCAACGAAAAGATACTTATCAGATTTGGGTGTTCCGCTGTAACGTACGGAGGTCGAGGACCTTATTCTTTTCTATTTTGAGTAAAACTCTTTTTTTTTTTTTTTGTTGTAAATAAAGAGGGGCTAAGCTCCAGAAACAGAAAGAAATTACAAATCAGAAACTAACAAGCTAGACATATTTCTAGCATCAGCAACTATAAGTTCCATCAACTGAGGAGGAAGATTTTTAAAAATCTTGAAATGGAGATTATTAGTCTGCCCAGCTTTAGCTAACCAATAAGCACATTTGTTGTTTTCTCTCTTGGTATGAACAAGATGAATAGTCCAATCTGCTTTTAACCATAATCTCAATCTGCTAGTGACTTGAGAGTCCCTAGGATCTTCATGCTGCTCCTTTAACATCTGGATGGCTTGGCTAGAATCACATTCTAGCTCTATTCTTTTTAATCCTGTTCCCCAAAGCAGTTCCAAACCTTTCAGTAATCCCCATAATTCTGCATCAAGAGGATTGCAGGAACCTAAATTACAATAGAAGCTTCCCAAAAAGGATCCATTGTGATCTCTTAATATACCACCACAACTAGCTTTTTTCATGCCACTAGAAGAAGCTCCATCACAATTCAACTTAACCCACCCTTGCTTGGGTGCTGTCCAAACGCTATCGCTGGAATCACCACGGCGCTGATAAATTCAGGCTTGCAGAATCTGTTGGACAAACATCCAAATTGAAGCCTGTGATTGCTCATCATGACAGAAATGATCTTCATGGATCTCCAAATTTCTCCACTTCCACAAAAACCAACAAGTAGTAAAGAAAATATCCCTCCAGTCCTTCACTTTATTGGAGGACCACATGTTATCGATATTTAAAGTCAACCAATCCTGCAAATTCGAATTAATAAAGGAATTGGGTATCAAACCTGTAAACCAAGATTGCCAAATTTTCCTAGCATGTCTACAATCACGAAGAACATGAATAATAGTTTCCTCATGATTTGGACAACTGGGACAGACATTTGAACCTCCGCTCCACTTACTGGTTCTGTTGCGCACTGAAAGTTTAGCAAGCAAAGTCATCAACATAAACACTTTCACTCGTTCTGGTCCATTCCACGACCAAACTTTTTTCCATAAGCTAGTGTGAACATCTGCTGGGAAGTTCATAAGATTACAGTAAGCGACCTTAACCAAAGAAGTTGAGTGATGATTATTGATCCAAACTAATCTATCCTCCCCATTCCTTGGAATAAGCCTGAGATGATTTGTTACTGCATCAGCCAAATCTGACTCCAGAAATTGATGAACAACTTCAAGACGGAAACCATCATCCACCATGTAATCTGCAATTGATTTCTGACTCTCCTCCCACGGCACCTGATTGCTCGACAACTGCTGCAAATTTTCCTCCCATCCCAACCAGTTATCAGTCCAAAGCTTTACTTCAGAACCATCTGCTATTTCCCATCTAAGACCAGCAAGGAAATTACTCCAACATTTAGCAAGATCACGCCAAAGTTTAGAGTCATATGATTTTGCCTTTATACCTCTCCTTAAGTCTTGACATCTACCATACTTGGCTACTAAAATCTTAACCCATAAATCATTGTGTCCCTAACAAAAATTATGGTCCCCAATTTTAAGGATGTGCAAAATAAAAAAAAAACTGAACCGAACCGAACCGCCCCTTAAAATAACCAGTTTTTAAAAACTAGTTCATGAACTGAACCGATTTTTAAAGAACCAGTTTATGCACTGAACCGGTTTTTAGAACCAGTTTTAGAACCGAACCATTTTGAACCGAACTGAACCGAACCGTTTTCAAACCGAACCAAATTGATTTTTATAACTTTATTTTTAATTTTTATTTTTTTTTCTTTTCAAAAGAGGGTCGACCAGAACCGATTCCGAACCGGTTTCGATCCGAACTGATTTCGAATCGGTTTCTCACCGAACCAGTTCTGAACCGGTTTCGAACCGAACCGTTTACGAACGAACCGAACCATTTCCTAACCGAGCCAGTTTTGAACTGAACCGAACCGAACTATTTAAACCAATTCGGTTCGGTTTTTCAAAAAAACCGGTTCAGTTCGACTCATGCACATCCCTACCCAATTTTATCCCTTACAAAAAAAATTCATATTAGTTCTTTTTTGGGGACTAAATTGAGTCTTCATTGAATTTCTAAGGGACAACATTTTCAAAGAACTAGAATTGTAGAGGACCAAAAATTGACTTTTTTTTTTAAGGGATAAAATTGGACCGTGTTTTTTTTGTTAGAGACTTGAAATGGGCTTTACTCTTATTTTTTTAATAATGATTTTCATACTCTCTTCCTAATCGGGGGTGGGGGTGAGAGTCAAAGTTCAAAAACTCTCTATGGTTTTGTAAACTATGGGGTTTTTTTTTAATCATTTATGTTTCTATGATTTTTTTCCATCCAACTTCATCCTTAACATCGTTATAAAATTAACTTATATACCTATTTTATCCATTTTAGAAAAAGAAAATAAACTGATGACAAAAAAGAAAAAAAATTAAAGAAAAAGTAAGATCAAATAGGGGAGGTATACTATTTTATACTTACAATCTTTTTGTTTACAAACTCTTACAAACTATATTATGTATTCCCGGAAGTATACTAGATTATACTATGTACTTTCAAGAGTGCATAGTGTAATTTGCAAAAATTTGTAAATTTTTTTTTGTAAATAGATCATTTCCCGATCAAATATATAGGAAATTGACAACACTTACCAAAGGTAAAAATAAAAATGAAATAAGACAAAATATATTGGAAACTTGCAATAATAACATGAAAACCTAAAATTTAAAGAAAAAAGAAAAAATAAGACCAGACATATTAAAATAAAAAAGAAGAAAATAGATTGAGCACAAAAAAGGAA